GTTTGCCATCGGGGTCGGTGTTTCGTCGCTTTTGCAGTGATGTTATAAAACAAGCAGATCACGTGGTGCGCTCGGCAACCAGGTTGCCGTTTTTTGCCTTTGGGGTTATTGCTTTTGTGGTAATCATGAATGTTGGTCAAGTAGATTATGATATGCGGGGTCGAGAACCCTCACTCCGTGCAAGGGGGATGATCGCACCATGTTGTGTTAAAATGGTCAAGCACCCTCGAGGCAGTTACACAGTGCTTACAACTGTCTCTGGAAGTGAAAGCACCAGAAAATAAATTAATTCATACGCAGCTGTCATCCGTATGCAAGCAAGCAAGCACAAGATGCCGAACACCCTTCGCAGAATGCAGCGCACCCGTCATGCGACTCGCCGAACACCTCATGGCGCTTCGCGCTTGGTGATGTGAGAGCCTGGTCCGGTGAGAACCCGGNTCGCAGAATGCAGCGCACCCGTCATGCGACTCGCCGAACACCTCATGGCGCTTCGCGCTTGGTGATGTGAGAGCCTGGCCCGGTGAGAACCCGGCGTGCTCCGTCCCGGCTTTGTAGCGATGCGAGGTCATTGGTCTATCGACTACGGCATGCACGACTACGAGTGTGAGTACACCCCCCCTCTTTCGTTCTTGAACCTTAGAGCGCCTGATGCGATATATAACGCCCCCGCCCACGTAGCCCTGCCGATTCGGCGCTAACGCTCTCACAGCGCCAAGAAGATACACACGTACCTGGGGGCTACCCCCGCCCTTGTCCTTGACCGGCTTCCCGGCGCCCAGCGCGCAAAATTCCGGGTGCACGTCCGTCAGCTTGAGGTCGGAACGGCCAGATGAAACATTGGGTGAGTCCGTCAACCGTACCGGGAGCACCCTAACGACGAGGCAATTTTCGACACATGTTGGACGGAGGAGGAGGAGGAGGAGGATGAGGAGGAGGAGGAGTTGAAAAAAGAGGTATTTAGTCGAGCTGGCATGATGCCTTTGCGTTTGGTTCGATATTCGAATACGCCTGGGACACCGTTTTTCCGGGTCTGATCAAGCAGCCGTTCCTGGGTGCTGGGGTGGGCCCGACGATGGGTGATCAAACAGACTAGAATCCATGCCAACAGACTAGACCCCATGGCGAGATGGCCCGTGCAATGAGGAGGAACGCCCCTCGCAGAAAAACCCAAAACCAGGGCCTCACAACAAGGGAGGGACGCTTCCCCAATACAAAACCCGGCCGGAAAAGGTGCCCGGTGCCCTCGGTCCTACTACAGAAATTATCATTCCTAGGTGAGAAGAGGACGCTTGTATTGAAAAGACCGAGAGGCCTCCCTCACATGTCTGAGGCGGCTAAGCTACCCCCTCCCACCGCGCGAGAATCTGGCATGAATGCTCCGCAGCTCTACCGTGCGTGCGTACAAGTGAGGTTTTGCCTTGTCAGACGTCTGATGCACGCAGCCCCGACCCCCCGGTCTCCTCGCTCTGTTGCCGAGAGGGGGGGGGAGGGGGTGCTCGCCCCCGTTCTGCATGCTAGGAGCGGCCTGTATGTCAAAGCTGAGACCCACATTTCTTTCTGCCAGCCGTCTGATCCGCACAGCTCGCTGAGAGTCTGCGCTCTCACTTCTCTAACCAGTAGCGGTGTCCAAACCTGCGCGTAGGTCGGGACATGGTAGTACGGGTGGGGGGGGGCGGTTACTGGGCTATACATTCAAACATTGAAAACATTTGGCTATATTCAACGAAGTTTACCGACATAGACGTAGCGCCGATAGCACGCCAGGCTGAGGAGAGGGGCCGAGAGTGCAGCAGGCAACACGGATGTGCTTAGCAGGCGGGGGGCAGAGCGCTCTCTCGCTACGACCGATGAACCAACACCTACAAAGCAACGGCAATCATGTGTTTTGAGGGAAAGCTAACAACGGCCTTGCGATCGGACTACTTCGATCGTACACAGTTCGGCCTCAATCCGGTACATCCCATAGTATGAGGCCAACAACCGACGGGGGTGCTGGGTTACCGTCAACACAAGCGAAAACAAACCAAGAGCGATTGCAACGCCAACTGTTGCTGCGGCGGCGCGACAGTCAAGACTCACCCGGGCGTACTCCTGTGCAGACTGGAAGGAGTTTGGCACGGCGATGTTCGGCAGGCCGCAAGCTTCCTCCCAAGCAGCCCTGGAAAACCGACACAATGACAACGAGACAATTGCACCAGGACGAAAACAATAAACAAATTGATACATATATAATACTTCGAGCATATGCATATATGCACCAATAACCCGGGCGAGTGTTAGTCGGATACTCAAAATATATTTGCACCGATCACCCGGGCGAGCGTTTGCCTCGCGAGGGGACACCAACGCGGATCGCGAAAATCAGACGCACGAACGCGGGGTACAACAGCCCCGCAGGAAAGGCTTCTTTGTTCTTGTCTTGTTCTTGTCCTTGACAAACCAAATTGCTAGTACCGGTAGACGTCGCAACACTCCGAAGGGTGTTGTAGGTTGATAAGTGTTGCGAAGAGGTCCGATCTACATACAGACACGGAGGCGGCGAGAAAAAAAATGCGGAAGTATGCGGGGGGGGGGGGGGGGGGGCCCCC